CAGGTATGATTGAACATTTAAAAAATGATCTGCATGTTGATCATTTCATGGCATCATGCGATACACATGAAATCATGATTTGTTTGAGCTCTCCAAAATGAACAAAAGCCTCCATGTACAGATTGGCCTACATACAGACTTTTTGTGTTATTTTATAATGATATTCCCTTTTTTCTTTCATCATATCCATTACAGAAGCACAGTGGTAATCAAAAAGGAAGTACGCGGGTGCTTATTTTAAAATAGCTTGGACCAGAAATCTGGTCCATGAAAATTCTTTTGATATCAAAGTTTCAAGTTAGTAAGTTGTTGCTAGTATCTGATCCAGTGCTCCTAAGAAGGTTTCTTGAAATACCAGCACTGGGTGTTGAGGGGAGCCATACTTATCCCCATTATTCAGCTCACTGCATAGTGAATGTAAGCTTTTTTATATACTGAAGAAGCAATTTCATGCGCAATTCATCATTTCAGTGCATATGTATAAAGAGATGGTATGTAGAACCTAGTTACTGTTCAATGATTTAATAGCAGGTAACATTACAGATTCTTTTGTTGTACTGCAAAAATTACTTCTGACTCTAAGTCGTTTATGGGCTATATTTATAAAGCAGAGAGTGTGACATTCACGAAACATTCACTGGTGGTAAATCATTTACTGTATTTTTAGAAACAATTACTAGTAGGAAGATTCACCGGCAGTGACTATTTAGTGGATCTCACATGTTTTATTATTATGCCCCTTAAGTTAATCCAGCACTACCGTGTTTCCCCGAAAATAAGACAGTGGGGTTGATTTACTAACAACTAGATCTTATTTTCGGGGTAGGTCTTATATTACAGAAGTCCCTGAAGATAGCGCTAGGTCTTACTTTCGGGGTAGGTCTTACTTTCGGGGGAAACACGGTATATTGTGCATCTTGACTAGTTATATAATAACTTAAGAGTTTTACCAGGCAACACTGTGGAGATAGACAATAGCTAAGAGAAGCACATAGCTTAACCCAACCTCTATGTATCCAGGTGACAGCTTTAAAGCTGATCTCCAGGAATCTCACTCTTTTGTGGGGCCCGTCCCCCAAGGCCTCTTCTATATGACACTTTGGCCAACAGTTTCACATTAATGTCATCAAGAACATTGTAGGGCCAATAGTCCTCTATGGTACGTGAGGCCTGCGAAGGACCAGAGTGTCAGGGTGAAGAGGTGAGTGCCAGAGCACGGAATAAAGTAAATATTACACATTATTCTTCTATAGTTCAGCTTTAAAGAAGACCTTGCAGACAAATTCAAGGTCCACTCAATACTGTCTGGGCCCCCTCTAGCTTTATAAATCTCTTGCAGATAGTGGATCCAAAATGTACCGGTTAAGAAAAAGTTATATTTATACCTACCTTACCTGCGCCTTTTACAGCACTGGATGTGACATCATCATCCTTCCGAAAAGATCCCTGAGTAATGCAGATTAGGTAAAAATCTCAAAGACACTCCAGCCCATTGCAAAAGCATCTTCTAGCAAGATTTCACCTGCCCTGTATTCCCCAGAATCTAACTCGAAGGAGTATGAAGCAACCCTTACAGGTAAATTTTTAACCTTCGATCTGCTAGTAAATTATACAGGGGGATGGGGTCCGGCCAGTTAAGTGGACCCTGCATTTTACTGAAAGGCCTTCTTTAAGAAAATCTCAAATTAACTTAGTTACATTGTGATGTTAGTTCCACCAGAAGTTATGATTCAGTATGGAACCAGTGGGTTCTACTGTCAAGGCAGTTGGGGGCACCTCTGTGGTTTAAAAGGGAATTGTTGAAATATCTGAATTCAGGAATTGTTTTACTGCAGAGTGGTTACAGTATAATGGGAGACTTCATTTTAATTAGACCTTTTGGTCTTATGGTGTACAAAATAACAGCTATCCATGTTAAACCTTAAAACATTTTAATGTGGATGCAAGTATTCTTTTCTGTACTAGCGTAGCTTTTAAGTAACAAACATATCAGGGTTTAATGAGCATGACTTTAACTATTTCCATTTTTAAACTGGTAACATAATTCTTAATGTACGTCTTCTCCATACATATGCACTGGAAATATACATTCATGCATGCTTGACAGATATTTTAATAATTCGGTTTCCTATTAAACTGCTACATAGATGTTTAGCTCTAGTCATGCAAAAGCTGATTATCATTACACAGCACATTATTCTGTAGGCATTTCAAGCTTAGACATGGATATAAGGAATATCATTATAAAATACTATTTCGGTAGCAATGGCTCAGGACAAATTTAATGCAAAGGCAGACACACCTGACCTGAGCATGCTTCAGAAGGTACTTGGTAAAGATTTGGCACCAACCTGGACAGCAATTTGACCTGTTGTGCAGATGACTTAGGCTTAAACTGCCCGAAAACAGTAGCAACCCAACTGGGTTATCTCCAAAAGTCTGTATTCCAAGAAAAAGCTGACTGTGGGGAAAAAATCTTTAGTGTCTGAAAGTTCTGCAAACCTGTATGGGAATTTATCGATCTTGCGGTACATCTTTTGGGTTCAGACAACCTCCATGGAGAACTGTTCCTTATTATACCTCTTTATGCCTTCTTACAGCACTCCGTCAAATAGCATAAACTTGGCAGAAACTTCTAATTCCCTGCATGCTTATGTCTCCATCTCACAGTGAGAAACAAGTTAAATATGTAACTATCCCTCTTTGTTTTGACCTTTTTAGGTGAGTTATACAAAGATTCGAGTCAGAAGAACACTTTCAGATTTGACAAATGATTATTGGGAGAAAAAAACAGTTTGTTAAATATATACAGTTTTAAAATACTTTGTGTATTTGTCAATGTCATGTTTTGTGAATATTCCAGAAGGATAAGTATATATTTATTATCTTAAAGGCTGAGCTTATGTTTTTCTTCAAGATATTTCTAACACACATAAGGTTCAATTCACTAAACTATAGCAATCGATATTTGTCATAAAAAAAAAAACATTTTCAGCAGACAAAACCAATGAGAGCTGAAAATAACAGTCACGTAGCTGAAAATAGGAATCATAATACAAAATACAACACATCTGTTGAAGCTGAGTGAACTGAGCTTATGACATGAATATATAAGCAAAAATACAGTCCTGTGTTTTAACAAACAGGTGCAAATTTTTGTTTATCAAGTTTATGTATTTGTTTCTTAAATTGAATTTATAGTTTTAATTAAAAATGGACCCCTTGATTTCTCCATGTCTTCACAGCACAGAAAGTTGTGATCTCCAGTTTTAGGTTATGGCACTGATGTAGCTGAAAACTGATATTGCCACATATCAATTCAGGTTACATATTTATTTATTAGTTCAATTATATCAGTAGAGATAGCCCCGGCCCTTTGAGGTTACATAGATAAATACAGGATAATGGCTCTACTGTGGGACATGGCATTTTTTACCTATATGGCACTAATTGTGCTGCTGATGGAATGGTACTAATCAGTATTGGCCCAATAATGTATCCGCTGAATATCTAGGGGATATTTTAGATTTTGTGTTTAAATTAGGGTTAGGGTTGGGTCCATTGGGTAAAGGGTCAGACTGAAGGGTTAGGTTAGCCTTATGAGGAGTGATATGGTTAAGCTTTATAATTAGGTTAACTTTTAAGGGTTCATTTTAAATGTGAGGATAGGGGTACGGGATTCCTTTTATGGTTTAGGTTAAGAGCGGAGGGGTTGGTTAATTTACAAAAGTTTCCAGCACCATCTAGGGACACTAGTGCCATGCATGTAGCCAGGCAGAACTTGATATAGATATTTATAATTATTATAAATAATTATAAGTGTTATGGTAGGTTAAATGTTATGGGTTAATACTGAGGGTCACATCAGAGGTTAAATTTCAGTATTATTGGGAGTCTACGTGATCTGGCCAAATTACCTGCTCCAGATTTAGTGCAGGAACATAGCCCTTACTTCTATGGTGGTTTATAGAAGTAATGGTGGCAGGGCATTGATGTTACTACAATTTTTTTAGGGTCTATCTGAGCAAACATGTATTAAATTCCTTCTGCGATACTAGAATTCTCTGTGTCCATTGCATATATTTTGCTGGATAAAAAGATAAAATGAAATGCCTGGCAATGCCTCAAAATTTAGAATAAATTAAAAAAAAACAATCGGAATACACACACTGGGGGGAATTCATCAGAACTGGAGCAGTTGCCCATGACAACCAATCAGCTTCTCTCTTTAATTTGCTCAGTTGAGATTTGAAAATGAGAGATAGAAGCTGATTGGATGCAGTGCAAACCTGCTCTAGATTTTGTCTGCTCCAGCTTTGATAAATGCCCCCACTGTATATACTGAATACAGTACACTTAATGTTATATGAACCAGAAAACAAATGACAAAATAAGTCAATTTTAGTCTAGTCGTGCCATTTTGTGATCGTTTTTATCACCCAATCAAGATGTAAAAAAACATGTGGAAGACAAAGAGAAATAACTAATTTGTAGTGACGCTTAACTCCAGAACTACATCTCCTTCCTTATGTGCAGTGCTTTGAACAGACCAGTAATATACATACACATTCACACTGAACATTTCCATTGCATGGTTCAGCTCTTAATCTTGTGGTATAGATATTAAGTAAACAATTGTTACACCCAAAAAAATGTAAACAAGAACAAGAAGAATTTGAAAAGAGGATCACATTTTTGCAAATATGTCAAACACGTATGCATACTGTCAGCACAAGTAACACAATACATAATACTATGCAGACACATATAATCAGCAGAGTTAACCTGTACCGTATTTCTGTATATATTAAGTTACTCTCCCTGGATGATGGACGTAATTCAGCAATATGAATATAAAGTTGACTGAGACTGTAACATTTTGTAAGAGTTTCCGACTATAATATTACAATAGTTCAATGATATTCTAAATATCTGTTTCCAGGAAGACTTAAAGTAGAACTCCAGCCAAAAATAACAAGATAAAAATGTTAACCCATTAAAATATAAAATGACAATAGCTTTTGCTGCAATATTCATCTTCAATCCACAGATATCCCCAGAATATTTTTTTCTGCCACTAGATGTCCTCAGTCTGGTGACCAGCATCATTCAACCCACTTCCTCTGAGTCCAGACTGTCCTGGATAAGCTCATCTCTCTGTTACGGTGCTTTCTTCTGCTATGCTTCTTGTAACCACATGGACTGAATGGCTCCTTGTGCTGCTTTTTCCTCTCACACTCCATTTCTACTATGAGTTGGGACTGCAAGAAGCTGACACTAGTTTAAAAAATACAGAGCAGAGCTGCAGGGGCATCCCTAGAATTTTCGCAGCCTGAGGATGGGGGGGGGGGGGGGGGGGGGGTGGCGG